ATAAGCAAGTATGAGCTAATTTTTATACGATATCAGTATTTTGCATAAAACTCACTTTAAAAATATTTAAAGGTTTTTCTCATTTAAAGACAATTATCTCCACAGTCTTTACTGAGTGACAGAAAGCACATGCCATGAGGAAGAAATCAGTCGATTAAACATTACATGTCTGCTGGGTGTGATGGCACAGGCCTGTGATCTCAGAACTTAGGAGGCGGAGACAGAAGAATCACTATGAGTTCAAGGCCAGCCTAGACTATATAGTCAGTTCAAGGTCAGCCTGAACTACACAGAAAGACTCAAAAAAACAAAAAACACATATATAAATAATTGCATGTCAACAAGAAGCTGTGGCGGGAGGATCACAAGTTTGAGACCACCCTGGGCAACTTAGTAAGACCCTGACTCAAAATGAAAAAAAAGGACTGGGAGTGTAACTTGTGCTAAAACTTGCCTTTTGTCTTCTCACCTACCAAATATATACTCTACTCTTTGGTCACCTGTGATAGCAATTATTAAATTGGCAGTCCCACTGGCCTTTTTTCTTTAAATGACCAATTCTCCAAATGACCAAGTGGCAGAGCATCTGCTTAGCATGTGTGAGGCCCCGAGTTTAATTCCAGTACCACACACACTAAAAATATAAAAGTCTCATTCCTCCTTGGCTCACCTCAGAATTGTCCATAGCTGCTTTCAGTATGTTGGAGTGGGCATTGACAGCCTGGACTGCAGCATTCTGGGCTGCAATCGCCTGTAGAGTGATGGAGGCAGTGTGGCTCAGCGCATCTTCTAAGCTCTTGGCTAGAGCTGGAAAACAAAAAAAGAACATTTAAAAAACATACCATATACCCATCCCCTTGTAAATTCCTTTATTTTAAACTTCTTTTAGTACCAAATCGTCCACTGCATTTCCCTAAAACCTTAAAATAAAATATACACAGAACCAAAAATTAGGGAATCAAAGTTCACTTAAAAGTACAGTGGTGCCTCAGTACTCATTGTCAACTGGTTCCAGGAGGAATGATGAGTAACACATAAACTGTTTGGGATGGAAAGGGCAGCGTGAGTTGGGAGGCAATTAAATAGCAATTTCTAGCTTGAGTACCTAATTCTAACATGAGTACCAGGACAACAAAATGTCTCAAAAATGTGTCAAAGGCCAAGTTTTCCAAGTTTCAGAGCAGTCAAATACCAAGGTCTGATTGTATGGTAAAATATTAATAGTAATTGAATTTGGATGGTAAATCTGTCAGGGTTGTTTTTGTTGCTTTTATTTTATTTTATTTTATTGGTACCGGGGATTGAACTCAGGTCTCTGCACTTATAAGGCAGGCAGTCACCACTGAGCTAAATCCCTGGCCTTACTTGTATAAATATATGAATTTTTTAGTGAAAAGTTTCCAGTTTCTCAAAGGAAAAAAAATGCTTAAGGGCATTTCAAATGGAAGGGATGAGGCTTAAAGATATAAATTCAATATAACCACCAGCTTTTTCATTTCAAGTAATAATCCCATGGACTCACTAGAAAAAAGAGATGCCCAATTTCAACTCTGCAGCAAGAAAGCAAGCCCACAGCAAAACATTGTACTAACAAGAAACAGAAGATAACAGACTAAGAAAGAAAAGGACAAGAAAACAAGCAGAGATGCAAAGACAACTGAATGGAGAATGTTTTTCCACAAAAGAACTCAAGAAATACAGACACCAATGTTTAAAGAGTTGCCTCCTATTTAGATCACATTACTATATGCTACTTCAAAAATACTAGAAAGAAACATTAAAATGTTTTTAAAAATTAAGAAAGTCATCATCTTTGGATAACATACAAAAATGGAAAATATAGTCATTTGTAGAAAGAAGGCAAGTGAAAATACCAATTTAAAAATAACTGCTATCAGAGAGGACCAAAACATAAGAAACATGTTTGTCAGGTGAGACAAAAACAAAAGTTGAGTTTGAGCATAAGAAGCCTAAACTGTAGATGAGAAAATGGAACCCTGCCGAAACACACCTGGCACCTCTGTAGCACAGGCAGAGAAAGCAAAAAATGGGAAAATACCGAATCATTAAGTGGGACTGAGGTTTAACTAAAGAGAAAGGGGTATAAAGAAAGTAAGAGGCAAGGAAAGGAAAATAACGATTACTTAGCACCTATGACATGTAATAATGTTGGACATCCATATATAAACAGTATGAACCACTTTACAAAGAAAGCAGGCTGCTGGCATACCATCTGCTGCCTCACACTTTCTTCAGAGGTCTAGTCATTGTGTTCTGACAGTTGATAAAAATTACATACAGGGCCGGGGATTTAGCTCTAGGTTCCACTGCCTGCTTCGCAAGCACAGGTCCCAAGTTCAATCCCCAGTACTCAAAAAATAAAAAATAAAAAATAAAAATACACATGCACATGCATCTTTTTAAATTAAAGTCTACCTAAAGTAAAGTACATAGCAACAATCAAAATCTTAAAAATTTTTACTTTGCTCAAAATGAAAGAGAACTGGAATGAAAAGAGAGGCAAATAAAGCACCAGATATCCCCATCTCAAATTTGTAACTTAATTCAAGGTGACCACATGATAGAGAGAGAAAAGTTTAAAAAATGAAAAACAGATTAAAAGATAATTTGTTTTGAAGTAATAAAGAATTCTGGAAAAATTAAGAACTTGGGGGAAAAGTACAGAAATACTTCAGTTATTTGGACATCATTTATATTTAACATTCTCAATGATCTGAAACATGGCCAAGATCTCAGAACCCCCCCAAAAAGACATCCCAACTTAGAGGCAAACTAGCGTCCTCCAACTACACCCAACTGTCCCTTGCACCTTTTCACACAATCCTAGCAATGGAGGCCCCTCAAGAGTAGGTAAAATCAATACACTGTAGAGGATACATGAGTCACTCAACACAAAAGGACAAACAGATGTAAGTGATGCTCCTTCAACAGACAAAACATATTATTTTTATTAATTTATTATTAATTTAAAACAACTTTCTGAAGGTACAGGATCCCAGTAATGAATGTAACTGTACTGTATACCTAGATTGTACCAATAAACTCAATAAAAAGGAAAAAAAAAAAAAAGATGGGGATTTCGCTCAGCGGTTCGGTGTTCTGCCTTGCAAGCGCAAGGACCTGAGTTCAATCAATCCCCAGCACAAAAAAAATAAAACAACTTTCTGTCTGGCAAAATGTATACACTTCCACTATCTCTAGCGACATCAATATATGACTACATATCATCAGAAATTATGTTCCATGTGCCTTAACATAGGAAAATACATTTTTAGGTATCTATTATCTTTTTTTAAAAAAGAACTTAGTATCAAAACTTAAAAAGGCATAAGCTTGTTATTTGAAAGCAAGCAACATGTAGAATACTCAATCTCTTACCAATGTTATGTAGACTGCCAGAAGAGGAGAAGCTAGAGGCTGGTGATACTGAAGAATGTGAGCCATGTGATTTACACAGAAAAATTTACAAGGTTTAACATCCTAAAACATAAACAACTCAATCTCTGTTTCCCCAGAGTATAAAGACTCTTTACAGTTACCATACTAGAATAATGGAGAAAGTATATATATTATTTGGAATGTTCATTAAGTATGCAGTAAGAGCACTCTCTGTCACCTGGGTAAAAGTAGTTTAAATGGAAAGAATGCAATGATGTAATATTAATGAATAGAGCAACAACACTAAAGAAATAAAAAAGCCACAGCTGGCAGATGATAGAAACTTGTCTCAATGGTTTAAGAGAGCAACTGAGATAACAAGAAGTACTTAAAAAGCTGTTTGATTTACATACACTCAATCTTAACTTGTTCTTGTTTTTCCTGTTGTGCAAGGCGAGCTGCAACTTCTTCAGGTGGTCGTTCCCTTATAGAAGATGAGAATGCTTCCTCTTGCAGCAAAGTAAATAAGAGGAAATCAAATTTCAGCGCAAAATTTTATCAGCTAACAGGGATATAAACCAGTTATATCAACACAGGGCATTCTGGTGTTAAAAAAGATTCTAAAACCACATCATCACTCATAATGATTCCAAAATGAAGGGATAAAGGATCACCTGTTAAACTCTTCTTTTGTAGTTGTGTTTTGGTTTTTTGAGACAGGGTCTCACTATGTAGTTGAGACTGACCTGGAACTCACTATGTAGCTCAGGCCGGTCTCGAACTCACAGCGATCCTCCTGCCTCAGCCTCCCGAGTGCTGGGATTACAGGCGTGTGCCACCATGCTCAGCTCAGCTGTTAAACTCTTTGAAAAGACTCACTCAGATTTAAAATTTTACAAATTTCCTAAACAAGTCTGAAGACTTAAAACCAGGATAAATTTATATATACTTTGGTGTCTAGATACTACCAAGGCCAGTAAAGGTGAACCTTTTAGAGCTTCCAATGATATACACAGTCTGCTATGGCACACGTCCCATAGGTTCACCACCACTGCCCTATGCATTAACTAGTGCTGATGTGCACACTATCTATAATACAACAAATGTAAATATCATAATTCAACTACCTGAAGTTACAGGTGTGGGTTTTCCTCCACCAATTTCAGGACGATCAGCTTTTATAGACTCCTCATGCTGAACCACAGGGGCTGGGACTGAAAGTGTATCACCTGCTGCAGAAATAATTTGAGCTGCCTCTGTAGGTGCTATAAATATATGTTACTCATGGTATTTATACTTTTCTGGGTTAACAGAAACACACAAGAATCTACCACTCCTGTCTACTTCCCACTTGACTACTTAAATCAAACACATCTACCATCATGTTTGAGAACCATACATACAGGGACACTGTCCACTGCATTTGCAAACACATATAAAACAGACAATGGTTGGGAAAGCACAAGCAAAAGAAGTGCTGTCAGCATCCATCCGTATTTAACCTTCCTTATGCTCATGCAAAGCTTTTACTAACAGTGCTTAATCTTAACATTCAAGAAGCAGACAGTATATTTTTTTGTAATGTGGAAAAAAAATAAAGAAAAAGAGCATCTGTAAGAAGACAGGCAAAAGAAAGCAACTAAAAACATTTTTAATTGCTTTGATGAATGGCAGAGATGAAAAAAGACACATAAGCAGAAATGACAGCTTAAAAAAAAAAAAGAAAAAAAAAGTTCAGTGATGATAGTAAATATGTGAAGAACAGATCTCACTTTTTTTTTGCGTACTGGGGATAGAACTTGGCTCCTTGTGCTTGCGAGGCAGGCGGTAGAATCACTGAGCTAAATCCCTGCCCACTTTTTAAAAATCACTTAATAACATTTTTTAAAAAGGAGATTAAAATTCAAGAGTTTGCAAATTTATAAACAAAAGTGTTGATGGAAGAGAAAAACAATTGTGGAGATGAAATGGGGACAGGCAATAAAATGGGCCTTTTTTTGTAGAAAACTGAAGGAGTCATTTAGGAGATAAGAATGGATTATCACAAAACCCATTAACTGCTTCTTCCTTTAGTCTTTTATCTATTCACAACAGCCAGTGATGTTACTAAAACAAAAGTCAGCTATCTCCTCTGGCTCAGCCCTCCAATGCCTTCTTATGCCCCTCAGCATATAAAACAAAATTCTTACAATGGCTTCCAAGGACACCAGAACATGCTCTCTGCTCCCTCTGACCACATCTGCCACTGTTCTCTCCTCTTCACTCCACTCCAGCCTCAGTTGTACCCTCCTCCAACATGCCAAAGGACTAACCCACTGGCTGCGATGTTCTTCCCATTGCCAGTCTTTTGCATGACTCCCTTCTCTCTTTCTACTTTAAAAATGGTACCTGCTGAGTGAGGTTTCCTCATCTACTTCATTTAAAATCCCACACCATCTGATATCCTATATTCATTTTACTTATTTTTACATGATCTCCCCCCTTCATCCCACTAAGGAATATTAGCAGAGTTTTTTAAACACTGTTTTGTGTATTATGTCCCCAATGAATGCCTGACAAAGGTAACAGACGGGTTAATATGGGCTGAATTCAAGTCTGAAGATTTAATCAAGGACAGAAGTAACACATGAAGAAAGAGAAACACATGAAGTTTAAGGATATCCTGAACAGTTAGGCAGGTGCTATAAACTGGGGGTGGGATTACCAGTAAATCCTAAAGGCAAAATCATCTATCTGCAGGGGCCACACAAAAACACTTTCATCACTAAGAAAGAAGAGAGGAAAAAGAACTAGTAAAAACTTACAATAAAAGAGGCAGGGAAAGAGAATAAATATTACAGTCCAAACACAGAAAAAGGAAAGTCTGTTGTAGGCAAGACTGCTACCCTCACTGCTAGTCTCAATCACTACTCATTAAAAGCCGAATTTCACGTCCCACTCAACCCCTAAAACAAAAGCCAAAAGGACAGGAGAAAATACTGCTTCCCTAGGGTACAAGCTGGGGACCAGAAGAGTCCTTCATGGACAGAGCTCCTCCTCTTGACTCTGGGTTCTAACAATTCATTTCCCTATAATTTTAAAAGAATGATTCTAATATGATTACCTGTTGTTGAAGCTGAAGTGTCTCCCTTCTGTTTTTGGAGTTGTGAGGCAGGCTGTTTAGATTCTTTCATTACCTCTGATACACTAGAGATTTTTAGTGGACCGGATGGAATCTTGGAAAAAAAACATTTAACATTTAAGACATAATAATATTTTCAAAAATAGGTAGCATATAGGAAATTTTTAGAAAGTCTTTCAGGATTTTAACATAAAGATATCAACATGCACTTTACTAATCATAGTAAAAGAAGCCATCAAGTCCAAAAATTTTATTCAAAGAACCCATATTTTAACATTAATTTTTTTCCTTCCTTTTCTCTTTTTTTTCTTTTCTTTTTTTGCAAGGGCAAGGTTTGAACACAGGGCCGTCATCGTGGACAAGCACTCTACCACTGAACTATACTCCCAGCCTAGGTTTTATACTTTTATCAGACATTAATGGATCGTTTTTATGTAAGGTTCTTGCAATTTATATTCTCACAATAAATATATGTATCACCTATTTCCAAATTCAGTTTTTTTCTTCCTTTAATTTCTATTTCTGTCAAAATCTTATTTTATTATAAGTAGCATTATCACAAAATCAGTATCTGTTGTGTCTTCTGACTCCTCCCAATCCCAACACTTTTTCAAACTTATTTTAGCTAGTCTTATATATCATTAATTCTTCAAAATCAACTTTAAAATAATCTTATCTGGTTCCTCACCCTCTAGAAAAATCCCATAGTTGGGCCGGAGATTTAGCTCAGCCTGCCTTGCAAGCGCAAGATCTGGTCTACAAGCAGACAGTACTGTGAATTTCTTGTGAACTTTTTCAGACACATTCAGTATATAATCAAGCAAAAAAAAAAAAAAAAAAAAAAAAAAACCAAACAAAGAAAAATCCATTGTCATTGTTACTAGAGTTGTGAATGTGTTTATACATAAAAAGATAATTTCTCTCAAACATAGTAGAAATTGAAGCTGGGCATGGTGGCACACGCCTGTAATCCCAGCACTCAGGAGGCTGACGCAGGAGGATCCTGTGAGTCCAAGACCAGCCTGGGCTACGTAGAAAGTTCCAGACCAGTCTCAACAACATAGTGAGACCCTGTCTCAAAAAAAAAAAAGAAAAGAAAAGAAAAAGAAATTGAACAGAAATAATATATATTGAAAGAACATTTTTATACCTTATTAAGTTCCACATAGAAACATTAACATTTGTATTCATTTAGGCAAGTCTTATTTCATGTCCATCAAAAAGACGTTATAGAAAGTAATCATACAGGCACTAAAAGAGTTACTATGAAATAAAATGTATAGTTTTTGAAAGCAACAAGTTGGTTACAATGTGCTAAAGTAGAGAAAGTTAAATAAGTATTAAATAAAAAAAATATTATTATAATCAGAGGTAAGACTATTCATACAGATCTGTGCAACAAAGGACACAGGCCTTGAAGAAAAACATCAGTGGGTAAAGAAAAGGAATTCATTCTGAGGAAAAGAATACCATACAGAAAGTCACAAAAATGAAAGGAATCTTTCTTATTTCCATGCTCTAACCAAAACTCTTAGAATAATGCTGGAATATAATAATTATGATTAACTTGTTGAATGAATGAATGTACATATAAGGCATATGTGTAAGGCCAACTGGCATAAAGCTAAGAGATAAGGCTAGAAAGGTAAATAAGAGCTTCATTGCCACAAGTACCAGGTGTCAACCAAAGAATTAGCAAAGCCCACAAACTGTAGCAATGAAAGAATCCAGTGGCTAGTTCCTAGACTGACATTTAATCATTACTGGCTTTACTTTCCTTATTCACATGTAAGACAATTTTTAAAGTCTCTCTAGCCTTTTCATTATATGGTTAAACAATAGGAAAAGTTTGAAAGTTCCCAATAAATGGCATCATGAAAATGCAGTGCTGATTTTAGAATATTCTCTGGTATTGTTATGAAGATGGCTTAGATTCTTTTAGAAGAGATCTGGGGGATGGAGACTGGAAGATGGGAAAGACTTTGGTTGGGGTGAGGGCAAGCTACAGGTATAGTTTACAAGATAGCAAACCCAGTGCTCACCTTGGCAGCACATATACTAAATTAGAATGTTACAGAGATTAGTCTGACCTCTGCACAAAGATAAGATGCAAACTCATGAAGTGTTCAATTAAAAAAAAAAAAGCAAGCAAATTCAAGAGGCTGGAAGTGTAGCTCAGTGGTAGAGCTCATGCTTAGCATGTGCAATATCCTGGGTGCCCCCCCACAAAGCAACGCACGAGGACTGTTACATTTTGAGGGGGAATGATGTATGTACACCAAGTTACATAAGTGGAAATATTCTTCAAGGTAGCAATGAAGTGAGGAGAGGCCAAAGCTATCTTAGATAAAGAATTTGTCTACAAGGCCACAAATGTAACTCACTGGTAAAGTGGCTTCCTGGCAAGTGGGAGTCCCTGAGTTCAACTCCCAATTCCAAAAAAAAAAAAAAAAAAAAAAAAAAAAGAATTCATCTACAAAGAATACCACTAGAAGTCATGTTGAACAAGAAAAGAACACTGCTTACACATCAGCCAGATCCCATGCTCCTACAACTACTTCCAGTTATTTCTCATGGGTCATACAACTTAAAATAGACCTAAAATTTTAGAATGAATCCATAGGATTCTGCTCTTTGACAACTGATTCTGCAAAACTGTCTCCTTCTGCCAAACATGACTCCTTCAATTACTTTGTGTAATAATTATTTTCCATAGGGTACCCCTAACTAAGAGCACTCATGGAAATCCCAAAAACTCAAAATCTACATAAACAGAGCACTGTTTGATTTAAAGGGAATAAACATATCTAGCAAGCTGCACTGAATTATACATGCATGAAGATGAAAACAACTTGCATTTCAAAATATTCCATAGGATAGGGCTGGGGATTTAGCTCAGTGGTGTTGCTGCCTGCCTCACAAGTGCAAGGTCCTGAGTTCAATCCCCGGTACCAAAAAAATAAAAAAGAATGAACAAAATATTCCATAGGATAAATCAAAATATTGTTTAAAACTCTTACCGACTTCTTTGGTGATGGAACATTATAAGGTGCAGAACCAAGGACCATCTCAAAGAGTCTGTCAGAATAAGGTATAGTTTTCTCTACACTTTCCCGGAAATGGGAATCCCATTTGGCATACAGGATAGTGCCACTGATACCTCCACCAACAAATAAAAGGCCAGCTCCAGCAATTTTGCCAGCGGTCACCCTAAGTGAAAGAAAGGAGAAACATATTTATATTTTTTGGCTCTTCTGTTATCTACTTTCCTAGACCAATGAAAGGCTCTCAAAGACCTGGAGCTTCTACTTCTCTACTACTGACTCAGATCACAACAGCCAAGTTTACTACCACATGCTGAGTTCTGGATATAAATCTATTGCTACAGAATGGAAGACAGCATTTGCTGGGGGGCAGGGTTCTACCTTGGATACCATCCAATTACCAAAAGGCCAAAAGAAGTATCACTGACAGCTCCAGAAGGTGACTCAGAGATATTATAGCAAAACTGCAGTACACCTTCAGTAGTCCCTCTTATCTGAGGGGGATACATTCTCATATACACACATACATACATACACACATACCTATAATAAAGTTTAATTTACAAATTAAGCACAGTAAGAAATTAACAAAAATAACTAATAAAATACAACAATTATAACAATATATTACAATGAAGATTATGTGAATGTGAACTCACTCTCTTAAGGTATCCTACTGTACTTACTCACACTTCTTGTGATGTGAGATGATCTCACAAACACATACATACATACACACATACCTATAATAAAGTTTAATTTACAAATTAAGCACAGTAAGAAATTAACAAAAATAACTAATAAAATACAACAATTATAACAATATATTACAATGAAGATTATGTGAATGTGAACTCACTCTCTTAAGGTATCCTACTGTACTTACTCACACTTCTTGTGATGTGAGATGATCTCACAAGTTGACCACTGGTAACACAGACCACAAATAAAGAAGTACTGTTGTATTCCTTAATAAAAAGTTTCAGGCAGCCATTTCCATATCAAAGAACACACCCACACACATCCACACCATTAGCACACAGTGAAAAGCTTGGTTCCACAGAATCATACTACATACCCAGAACTCCTTGAAGTAGAGTATTTACGACATGGTCGCAATGGACGGAGGACAAACTTCCCACAGAGACAACTCTAAAGAAGGAGAAAACAGCAAAACCAATAGTTAGACGGGCATGGTGATATACACTTGTAATCCCAGCACTCTGGAAGGCTGAGGCAGGATGATTGCAGCTTTGAGTCTAGTCCAGGTTAACTTACTGATTTCCTGTCTCAAAATAAAAAGTAAATAATAAAAAGGGCTCAGTGCAAAGGCTTTTCAGTACTAAAAAACAAAACAAAACAAAAAATAGGAATCTGAAACGCTTACAGGGTTGGTAATACAATATTTTTATTATAAATGTTCTCATTAAAAAATATACTATTTCATTTTCAGGATCAATTCACCATGAAACATATCTGCAGATTTTTAAAAACAGCGATGATTCTTGTATCCCAAGGATCGCATAATATTACTTTTAATATCGTAAGAAGAGGATATCAGACTGACCAATTAGCACTTTTAAGTGTTATGTATGACAGTTATTTCTTTCACATCATTGAGATTTGCCATATGCTTTCTTAATTGACCAGAAAAAAAGCATAAAATATCTATATTACACTAACATTATTGTGTAAATTTAATTTAGACATCTGAAAAATTACCCCTAGAGTCTAGCTAAAAACAGTACCATAGAATACATATGAATCCTCTGAGATCTAAGCTTAGCTTAATACCAGAAAAATAAGTACTCCATTTCTAAGCTAACTGTAGCTAGTGAACCCTACAGGCATTCATCTAAATCTAAAAGTTTAGTCTTAGTTTATCCTGGTGTACCATTAGACTAAAAGCTAAGGCTTTTAGAAACAAAATGTAGGCCCAGGGATTTAGCTCAGCGGTTCAGTGGCCTGCCTTGCAAGCGCAAGGATCCGAGTTCAATCCCCAGTACCCCCGGAAGAAAATTATAAATTTTCAATTTATGTAACTAAAATTATAAATTTATCTTCACACAAGTCTACCTTTAAAGCAAATGACCAGGGCTATGCTTCATGATTTGTTTTAATTAAAATGAAACACAAATCCAAATGTTTATCAATATGTGGGTCTCTGAAATTAAGCAAACACATAAGTATCTAAATACTATTTGGGGAAGGTTTTGATAAACTTAAAACTATTTGCATCAATTTGAAAATTCATACTATTGAATTCATAAATAATTTCTTTTTGTATGTTAAGAATTAAACACACAGCCTTATGCATGCTGAGCAAGGATTCTCCCACTGAGCTACATCCCTCAGCCTAAAATATTTTTAATCCCATTTAGAAAGCTAAATTAGGGCTGGGGATGTAGCTCAGTGGGTCCTGAGTTCAATTCCCGATACAAAATAAATAAATAAACAAACTAATGTAAATTCTAGGCTATCTTCTCTCATCAAGTAGAAAAGATAAAAACTTTATATACCACTAAGGATGGAAAACATTCTTTCAATTCAATGAAACACCATCAAAAAGGAATGACTTAAGGAGATACCCCCAGTGCATCATATTCAGATGTCTTATCTACATCAGGATCTGATATAAATGACAAGACCCTGGTTCCAATGCTAACACTTGATGAGATGAAATTTCAATAGGTTCCAGAGAAGTCTGTGAAGGTATCTGTAGTTGGGAAAAACAGCTGGAGGGCTCAAAGAAAATGGGCAATAATAATATTTCTGTACAAATGTTCCCTGTCTAAAATGAGTTCTATGTACCCTTTTATTAAACAAGGCTTTGAGCTGGTATACAGCTGTAATCCCAGCACTCAGGAGGCTGAGGCAAGAGGATCGCCTCCTGCCTGGGCTACAATAGTGAGATTAAGTCCAGCCTAAACTACACAGCCAGATCCTGACTGCAAAAAACAAACGAACAAAAGACTGTCAATAATTCACTAACAGAGCAGTAAAAGTGATGCTCTGTGCCTTCTGAGAATAGGATAAAGGAAAATGGCTTCTGCCTGGCTCTGCCTCTCACCACACATACTCTTGGAACTCACTTGTCAAACTGTAAGGAAGCCCAGACATGTGAAGACGCCACATGTAGCTTTCAGCCAACAGAAACTGCTGAGGTGTCAGCTATAGTCAATAACAACTGCCAGGCATGACAATAAGGGAGAGTTGGATGTGACACTAGCCCGGGGGAGAAGCTGACTGCAAACTCATGAGTTCCAAGAACTACGAATTGGCCAGCTGAACCCAAGCAACCTTAAACTTAGGCAATTAATAAAATCGCTTTACCCTAAGCTCACAGTGGCTGGTTAGCAATAGCTAATCAAAATAGTGTCTTCTTTACTTCAAAGATTTAAACACTTTCCATAGACTTAAATCAGCTGTAATTGCTATCTTTTTGAAAAGTCATTATTGTTCTGCCTTTAGCCAAAGGAAGCCTCTTCAAGATTGAGGTAAGAGTATGTGTGTGTAGCTCTGCCTCTACACTTCTGACCATCTACAAAAATATCTAGCAGCAGGTTTTTTCCCTTGTGGCAAAATTCCCTAAAGATAAAACTCACGATTTTAATCATTCATTTATGTAATACACCCACAGTGCTGTACAACCTTCACCACTATCTGGTTCTGTAAGTTTCTTTTTCATTTTCATCCACACTGTAACACATACATACATGTAGCATGTAAGTCATTTACTTTTATGGCTGAATGTAATATTCCATTATATGGATATGATAGTTTATCTAGTCATTCCATGATGGTCATTTGGATTGTCTACCATGTGGCTATTGTGAATAGTGCTGTTATGAACATTCATCTAAAGGTTTTTGTTTCTTTGTGGGGGGAGGGGTTTCAGGGTCATACAGTTAATTCTATATTTAAATTTTTGAGGAACAGCCAAATAGTTTTCCATAGCAGCTGCACCATTCTACAATCCCATCAATGTCTGAGGTTTTTCTATGTCCTCATAGACATTTGTTATTCTGTTTTTTTATATTCACCCTAGTGGATGTGAACTGGGTATGTCCTTGTAGTTTTTATTTACATTTCCCTAGTGTCAAAGGATGCTGAGAGTCTATCCATGTGATTCTTGGCCACTTTTAATTCCTTTGCCATTTTTTTGAGTTTTCTTCTTGTTGTGAGTTGTTTTTTTACATATTCTGGATACTAGACCCTTGTCAGATATATTATTTGA